GCTCTGTTTCCCCCCCCCGCCCCCCCCCGGCAGCCACACGGGGGTGGGAGCAACAGTGGCAGACGGTAGCCTTTGCTTATCAGCCCTCTGTCCTTCCCTGAGGCTCCTTGCCTGTTGCTCTGAGCAGTTGCTAGGAGGAAGTGTGGCCGGATGTGAGCGTGGCTGTCCAGGCTGGAAGTGGTGCTCAGCCAGGTGTGGCCAACCAAATGCCAATAACTTCCTTGCTTTAAGTGCTGCTGAGTCACAGGCCTGGTGGGGATGTGACAGTGGCATGCATGTCCCCTCCCAGGTACACCCTGCTGTGTGGGAACCCTCCCTTTGAGACCTCTGACCTCAAGGAGACCTACAGGTGCATCAAGCAGGTGGAATACACCCTCCCTGCCTTCCTCTCCCTGCCTGCAAAGCATCTCATCGCTGGCATCCTCAGACGCAACCCCCAGGACCGCCTCACCCTTGAGGAGATTTTGGACCATGAGTTCTTCAAGGTGAGTGTGTGGGGATCTGGGTCAAGGGACCTTTCTCCACGTGGGATGAGGCAGATGAGGCTTTTTGGGCTGTGCAGGGTGCTGTCCTTGGAGCCCAAGTTTCAGTCCTTCAAAGGATGCAGCCGCTGTCCTGCCCAAATGCCAGCCAGGGGAACTGAGGGATTTGATGTGTTCCTGCTGCCTTGTTGCTATAGCAGGGGGTTGTTTCCTGTACTGATGCCAGTCATGCTTCCAAGGCTTGACGGAAACACAAGCTGGCTGTCAGGAGGGATGTGAATGACTGCGGTCAGCCGAGGGCAGCTGCTCTGCTTGGAGCATGTGGCCTATGGAAACCAAACCTTTTCCTTGACCTCTCTGCAGGGCTACACGCCTGAGAAGCTCCCTCCCAGCAGCTGCGTGATGGCTCCAGAGCTGAGTCCCCCAAACCCTGCAAAGACTCTGTTTGCTAAAGTCACAAAGACACTCTTTGGGAAGAAGAAACCCAAAGGTGAGTTCATGCAGTTGCCAAGGAGGCTCTGGGTGACCCTTCTTCACAGGGAGAAGTCTGTCCTGTTTCCTGCAGAGATCTGATGGGTCTCTGTGGACCCCCTGCCTGGGGACAGCACAAGCTGGGCTTGCCCAGCCCTTCTCGTGCTGGTGGCCTGGCATGGGTGTGTGCCTGGAGAGCGGATGCTGCGTGGCAACTCATGGGGCAGTTCCTCCTGAAAGCCCTGTGTAGCATGAGAACTGGGAAGTGAAAGTGGGAGGCAGCTGTTTGAGACCATCCTTGCCACCGTGGGCATGGGATCAGAAAAGGGAGAGCTGAACTACTGGGAGGGGTGTCCTGGACGTTCCCATGCCCTATGCTCAGCAGTGTGCTCATCACTTGCTCTTCTCTTAGCCAAGAAGGGCTCTTTGGAGGACAAGGATGACATCTCCAAGCTGGTCACTGGGCTGATGAAGACCTCGATCTGTCGGCAAATGAGCTATAAAACTGTGGAAGGGAATGAGGTGAGAACATTTCCGAGGCCACGCGTGCCCCTCTTTTGGGGAGCAGGCAGGACAGTGGTAAAGCCAGGTCTCTCTGCAGGCCACTCCTGTATCCTGCCGCAGTGCCAGCTCCAGCCCCGTGGAGACAGTGGTGGAGGAGACATCTCACAAGTCTGCGTCCCCCTCCATTCGGGGAACGATGGCCAGCAGCTGTGAGGGTGAGCAACACCTGCCCCAGCCACCCCAGCCTGCCCTGGGCTTCCTGTCCTGCCTGGCTGATAGCGGGGCTGGCTGACTCAGCCTGTCATCTTCTCCCTGCAGCCTTTGAAGACTGCATCACTGCCTCTGCCATCATTGAGTCAGCCGTCCGGCTCCTGCGGACCTGCCTCTCCTCCATGCCTCCAGGTAAACTGGTTGGACTGCTCTGGGATGGGATAGGGTGCTGTGCATCCTTTTCCCCCTGGGATGAAGGCATGGCTGCTATTTGGGGTACAAATAGCACCTTAAATGGTGCCAGAGCCTGCTGCAAGGGTCTGCTCCCCTCTGGGGGAGGTGAAGTGGGGAGGGACTGGTTGCCTGCTCTGCTCACCTCCTCCTCTCCTCTCCACCAGCGGAGAAAAACCCGGCTTCCCTGGCCCGCCACGAGCACTTTGTCTGGGTGAGCAAGTGGGTGGATTATTCCAACAAGTATGGCTTTGGCTACCAGCTCTCCAACCGCAGCATCGGGGTCCTCTTCAACAACGGGACGCACATGACGCTTTCCCCCAACCGCAGGTGAGCAGTGGGAGTGGGGCTGGTGCCTGTCTCTGGAGAAGCCCTGTGGGTGGGAAGGGGCCATGGGGAGGCTGTGCCAGGGTGGGTTTGGTGCTGGACGTCCTCAAGGCTCACGGTGTGCTCCCTTCAGGACCGTGCATTACAACCCGACCAACAGCAAACACCTGGTGTTCTCTGTGTCTGCCATCCCTGAGCAGCTGCAGGGACAGATGACTGTCCTGCGCTACTTTGCATCCTACATGGAGCAGCATCTCATGAAGGTGGGTGCTGGGGCCCAGGGCTGGGTGTTGCGTCTTGGCTTGACCGCACTGCTTGGGCTGGTTGGACTCCCTCCTTGCAGGCTGTGGCCTCAGAGTTGTGTCCTGGGAGTGAGGACCCCCCTGAGAGGGTGTCCAGGTTTGGTGCTGTGTGTGCTGGTGGAAGTGCTCCTGTGTATGGGACCAGTGGCTTATGCAGACCCTTCTCTCCAAGGGAGGTGACTTGCCCAGCATAGATGACCTTGGGCAGCCGGCCCTGCTCCTCCTGCAGTGGGTGAAGACTGACCAAGCCTTGCTCATGCTCTTCAGCAATGGCACCCTCCAGGTATGTGTGGGGCACAGTGGAGAAGCCTAGACCCTTGTGAGGAAGAGGCCGGATGGTGTCTCCTGGCCTGTATTAGGTCTTGTCTGCCACAGCCCAAATGCAAAATCCAGCTGTGAAAACAACTGTGGGTGCAAGATGCTTCTCCAGTGCCTGGAGATGCTGGTTGCAGCTTCCCCAGCTCCTGGGGGACATGATGCTTCAGCTGGATGCTTCTGTCTGCCCCAGTGCTGCAGCTGGTGCATTCCTGGCACGGGGCACGGAGCAGGGATGCTCCCAGGCAGGTTGGGGAGGAGGAACGGGTTGAGGCAGGAAGTGTGGCTGCCTCTTGGCTCCCGACATGCTGTGGGAAGCATGGGTTAAAACCAAGCCCAACCTGTCTTCTAGGTGAATTTCTATAATGACCACACCAAGGTGATCATTAGCAAGCCTGACCACTCCTGCCTTGTCACCTACATCAACCGGGAGCGCAACTCCTACACTTACAAGCTGTGCAGTATCCAGGAGCTGGGCTGCTCTCCTGAGCTCCACCACCGCCTCAGATACATCCTCAAGCTCCTCCAAGAATGGGCTGAGGCCTAGCATGGGACCCTGGGGGACCTTCTCTGCACATAGAGGTCTCCCCCCTGCCCTCCCATGGGATGGGAGGTATGTTGTGGTGCTGGCTGCCCAGCTGGGCACTCTGTATCCCGGTGTTCAGCTGGACTCTGGACTAAGATGTGGATGTGGTTCCAGCAGCAGGTCTGGATATCCTTGCTGTTCCCTGGCTCTGGGCCATCTCTGTCTTTCCATCTCCAGCTCCCGCTCTCATTGTGCTGATCTTGATGGAGTGGACTGGGGTGGTACAGGGAGGTGGTGGTGGGTGAGTGTCCTGCAGCCAGGTTTGGGGCTGGTTGTGTCTTGTTTGGGGCTGGCAACTGCCTGTGGTGGGAGCTCAGGCTGCCCTGGCCCGCCCAGGGTGATGCACCAGTTGCACAGACCCTCTGCATAGCCTGGAGAGGACTGGCACAGCCTTGACCTCAAGCCTTGGGTGCTGTGGGGTAGAAAAAACCCCTTTCTGGGGTGGACAAGGGGTGAAGGGTGATGCCTGCCCTGCCAGGGGCTCTGTGGGCTGGTGTGTGCCACTCCACAACTGCTACACTAAGGAGGGTGTTGTGCTGGGCCCAACTGTGTCCTGTCTGTTTCCAAATTGTGAATTGTCTGGTACAACTTGAGGTTTGATTAAAGGGGGGGATGGGATCTGAGGACTTTCCTGGAGAAGCCCTCATCTTGTTGGGACCCAGGGTAGTTTCTTATTTCAAGGCAGTCTCTGCCATGTGGGACTATTTATGTATCTTATTTATATGGAATTATTTATTTTCCTGTTGGTCTGTCTGTGTGCAGCTACCCTCTCCCTGACTCACCTCAATAAAAACTTGTTTAAGGGCAAACTGTGTCTGCCTTGTCTGAACCTGGAGTCACAAAAGGCTTCAGCATCATCCTTGCTCTAGGGCTGCTTTTGTCTGCCAGGGATAACCTTTCTTGCCACTCACTGCTGGGGGACAAGGTTAGGGATGCAGGGAGGAAGGGTGCAAGGAGTCCATGTGGTACCTCCGCTGCTTTTGGGGGGCTGCCAGGAAGGGCAGAGTTAGTTCTTGCTGTTGCCAGTTGGAGACCTGGAGCTGCCTCAGCTGCTTCTTGCTGCTGCCAAACTCATTCCCAAATCCCTCTGCACTTGGACCAACCCATCTGCCCTTCTCATTCTGCTGAGCTGCAGAAGGCAGAGGAGTTATGACTTAGGTGGTGGTGCAGGAGTTGCCTGGGTCCTTGCACTATGACACCTTGTGTGATGGGATATGAGCTGGGCATGAAGCCAGGAAAGAGCCCTGTGAGCTTGCTTTGAAGGTGATCTGTGTAATCAATCTGCCTGGGAGCAGCTTGTGCTGTGGGAAGCAGCCTGGGCTGCTCCAACAGCCTTGGGCCATTGCCCGTTTTTTTTGGGTTGTGTTTGCTGGCGCTTGGGTCTTTGCAAACCACAGTAGTGGGAGCTATAGTGTGGGTGTGAGCTGAGGTTGGAGTGAGCATCCCTCTCTTGCTCCACGCACATATCATGGCCAAAGATTCCAGGTATGAGCCACAGATGGACAAAACCTCTTTATTTCAGCTGCTCTTTCCCTACAGCTCTACAAGACTGGGTGGAGGGAGAAGCACATGCTACTCAAAGTAGACCCCATGCACTGTGGCCACAGCGAAGAGGGAGGCGTTGGAGAAGGTGGCGGAGGCAAAGCTGTCAGTGTCAGGGTCCCATAGTGCCCGGCTGGCCACCAACAGGCTCTGCTGGCCCTGCTGGCCCAGCACCACATGGCAGACCAGCTTGTAGCGGGGTGGCACTACCTCCTTAGCCCGGTGCTGCAGCAGCTCAACCACGCTCTGGGCTAGTGGGGCACTGCCCTGAGGGCTGTAGACAGTGGTCCCCAGGGCAATGGCCAGGGCCTCCTCCAGCATCCGCTGCACCTGCCCCACGTTGAACTTGCAGCCTTCGTCTGGCCCCATCCTATAAGTGTTTTTGAGGCGGGTCTTGAGGATGGGCTGGAAAAGGGGGAGCCCAGAGAAGCTAACACGTCTGTGGAACATCCAAGGACCAATGGAGGGGCGCCTGCTCCCCGGGACCACCCCGAATGAGCTGCGGCGGCTGAGGACGGAGTTGCGGCGGGAGAGCAGGAGTGGTGGTTTGCCTTCCTCAGAGCCCCGGGCTGGGGGCTGGGAGCCACGGCGTGTGGCATGGAGTGGAGAGGCTTCAGTGTTGTCTGCAGCCATCACCTGGGCTGGCAGGGCCATCTCTGGGCAAGGCTGCTCAGCCATATAGGTGGCCTGGAAAGGAGATGAGGCTCTGAGTGTCAGGGGGAGGCAGGTGTCCCATAGCCTCTCTGCCATCCCACTGCCTCTCTGCTTCACTTCTCCCTGCCCTCTGCAAATCTCACACCTCCTGGCATGTGAGTGCCTGTGGGGCAAGATGCAGAGAGGCTCGGAGGTCAATGGCAGCTGCCTTCCCATCTCCACACCTCCATGCCCATCAGATTCGGCCAGCTGGGGCTGATTCAGCACAGCCATGAACGGTCCACCCAGCCCTCTGCTTTTCCTCCTGGCGCAGGTGAGCAGCTCCTTCCCCAGCTCTCCTGTCTGCATCTGATCCCACACTTACCCTTAGCCCTACTCCTGACCTGCTGGAGTAAACCCAGAGGACTTGTCTCTGGCTGATGTCGCTGCCCAGGACCAACCTTTATCTTGCAAGTTGCCGAGAGCAGGGCCAAACCTGTTGTGTTCCTGGAACAAACCTGTTGTGCTCCTGGGTCATGAAGTGTTGCTATGTGACACTGTAGCTCTCCAGGGCTGCTCTGGGGCGCGGCTTCTGTAACTCCTTGTTTCCTGGTCCCTGGACAGCCCTGTCCCACTTCGCTCCTGCCCTCTCTGCATTTTCAGCTATGCTAGCACAGGGACAGGCATGTGCTCTCCAACTTCAGCTCTCCTTGCCAGCCCTGAAAAATGCTGGCTGGTGTTGAATGTGCAAGAAAAGACAGGGGGTGGAGAATAGCCACTGTGATCACCACTTTGCGCCCCAACTATGGGATGCACTGGGGCTGGGGCCTCCAACAGCTTGATTTTACCCAAAGATTTGCATCCTTCATGTGCCTATCCCCCATGGTACCAAAGGAGAATGTGTGGGTGAGTGGTCACACATTGAATCATAGAATCACAGAATGGGCTGTGTTGGAAAGGGCCTTAAAGATCATCTCATCCCAACTTCACTGCCATGGGCAAGGATGCCATCCACTAGACCAGGTTGCTCAGGGCCCCATCCAATCTGGCCTTGAACAGTTCCAGGGATGAGAGGGAGCCCAGCCCTGCCACATGCCAGGGACTCTGCTGCTGTAATGTCTGGGGGCAGGTCACTGGGGGCTCCCGACCCTGAGCAGGGTTTCTCTCCGCCAGCGGAGCCCAGCCCAGCTGGTACGCCACGGCTGCTCCATCAATGTGCCTTTGTCTGGCCCGGCTGCTGAGCTATTTGAGGAAAGTGGAGACGGCTTTTGTGTTTCTATCTCCTGTCAGAGGTATTTATAGCCTGCCGCTGACTAGTGCTGCCAAGCACACTGCCAGCTGGACCCTGCTCCCTTGGGGTACTGCTCCAGGCCCCTCTCCTGCCTCTCCCTCACACCACCTGCTGACAAAGGTGGATTCCTCCATGGGCAATCCCTCTGCATTCCTCTCCTTGGGCTGCTTGGGGCCAGCCAGACTTGGAAGGAAGGGGACAGGCCATCCCCTGGCATGGCACTCAGTTTGGCTTATGTAAGCAACCTGATCTAGTGGGTGGCATCCCTGCCCGTGGCAGGGGGGTTGAAACTAGATGGGTGGTCCCTTCCAATCCAAGCCTTTCTATGAGACTGGTGATGTTTTTTTCCGCCTGTGATCGATCCCTTGTGTCCTAAGCAGACATGAGAGCTGCAGGGCTCTGGCCATGAACATCAGAGGAGAGAAGGCTTTTGCCATTTCAGGGAGCAGATCTCCTTGCTGGGCTCCAGTGCTGGTCCTGGGGGCCCAGCCATGCTCAGCGGCTTTCCATGGAGGCTCTGCAGGTGGAGGCGATCTCTGTGCATTTAACCTGCGCCTGTGCTGCCTCTTCCAAAACCCCAGCTGCCTGCCTCCCTTCACCCCCATCTGCCCCATCCACAGGCTCCTTGTGCACCAAACCCACCGGCTGGGAGGGGCAGGTCCCCGTGCCAGGCGTGCTAGAGCCGTACCACGAAACACGGCAGGGAATTCCACTCAGAGCAAGCCGCAGCCCTGCTCTCCCCATCCGGCAAATGCCACGCAGAGCTGCCCCGGCGGCACGGGTGGGCTCTCGCTGTCCCCTCGCTCCCCCCCGCCGCCTCCCCGGCAGCCCAGCCTCCCAGCCCCGCCGCCGCCTGCCAAGGTTTCCCTAGCAATGGGCCGTGTCGTACAAACGCCACGTGTTGGCTTCCTCCCCGCGGCCTCCCCGGGCCGGCCGGGCCAGACCAGCCTCCCTCCAGGCTCCCTCCAGCTCCCAGAGCCTCCTTCCGCCGCCCTCCCTCCCTCCGTCCCTCCCTCCCTCCCTCCCCGCGGCCGCCCATGGCCGGGCCCTGCTCGGCGCGGCTGCAGGGCGACGTGTCCGCCTTCACCAGCGCCCTGCGCACCCTGGTCAACAACCCCCAGTTCAGGTGAGGGGCCGGGGGGGCCGCCGCCGCCCCCCCAGCCACGCCGGAGCCCCCCCGCTGCCTGCTCGGTGCTGTTTTCCTGCGGCCCCGAGCGCTGCTGGGGGGTTGGGGGCCTGCGGGGCCGCTCAGGGACCCCCGGGCCAGCTGGTGGGGCCAGCACGGCTGGTGCACGCCGTGGGTGATCCCGCATGGCTTGTGCAGCCGCGTGGCAACAGGAGCCCAGGGCTGCCCGGGTATAGCCTCTTCCCCCGGGACAGTCACGGTCTGCCTGGAGGAGGGAAAGTCCCCACGTGTGCCCAGACCCCCTCTATCCCCAGCCGTGGTGCCAACAGGGTGTGGCAGTGTCCCAGCATAAATCCCATGCTGGGGCTCCTGCCCTTGCCAGGAGTGGGGGTATTCGCTGTGCTCCCCAGGGGCAGCATCCTGTGCTCTGCTCCTCTCCCGCCCTGGTGCTTTACTTCCAACCTCCCCACACCCCAGGGGGCAAGTCACAGCCTGGCTGTCCCTACCACCTCTTTCCAAGAGTGGAGAGCTGCTGCCTTGGCTGTCCCTTACTTGCATGGTATGTCCTGCCTGGTTGTGGTCATCTTCACCTACTTCCTGCTGAGATCTGGCACAAATTCCGGAGCTATCTGAGGAAATCCCCATCTCTGCTGAAAGTTTTGGCCACTTAGAATAGAAATCCCAGTGAAAACTCCCCAGCCACAGCATCAGGCAGTGTGGAAGCAGCTGTCAGTGCCTGGTCATCCCCAGCCTGTGTCCTGCTGCTCACATCTTGCATCCCACACCCCTCATCCTGCATCCTGCAGCCTTCCTTCATTCTGCATCCTGCAGCCTGTAATCTGTGCTCTGCATACATCTACTTCATCCTGCATCCTTCCTCCTTCAGCCTGCGCCCTGCACCTTTGTTCTACATCCTGGAGCCTGTCCTGCGTCCCAGACCTTGCATGCCATAATTGCAGCTTGCATCCCACATGTCACAGCCTGCATCCTGCACCCTTCTTGGCCTACTTGGTTTATCGTGGTCTCCCTTGCAGTAACAGTCGTGGAGGACCTGTTGGGCACTGGTCACATCACCCTGCATGCCCCAGCTGTGTGTCTCCTGATGGACACTTGGAATGACCCAAGGATGGTGGGCACATCCACTTCCCTGTGGGACACTCTGAGGGTTGGGCCATGGGTTTGTGCATGTCCTCATGGCAGCTAGAGTTTGGGTGGCATGTCTTCTTCTCACTGGCCTGCTGGGACGGAGAGAGGAACAAGGGGATGGATGGGCCATGGCCACAGGTGCTCACAGGCTGGAGACTCCATGCCCTTTGCCTGTTCCCTTTCTCCTGATCTTGCCCCCCTTTCCTGGGGCCATGGAGCTGGGGAACCTTTCTAGGGAGTTGAAGGGGACCAGGACAACAAGGTGTTCCTTGTGCCCCAGTGTGTCCCACAGGCCTGGGGAGGGCCAGTGCCAGCCCCGCCAGCAGCAATGCTGGAGGCTTCACATTCCTGGAACAATGAGTCAGTTCCCATGAGTCAAGGAGGCTGATCCTGGTGACAGCCACACTTTCCTCAGCTCTGCTGTGCCAAAAGAGAAAGTCACTTTCTCCAGCTGTCTCTGGCCCTTCTCTGCCCTGCTCAGTGCTGGCACTCAGGGCTGTCTCTGCCAGTACCTGTGGCTCTCTGTGCTTTCCAGAGGACCTGTCTCACCTTGCCTGCAGCATTCAGGTGGCTGCAAGGAGCCGCCAACAAGGTCCCCTCTGTACCCCTGCTGGGACACAGCATTAAAAGCACCTGAATTAAAATTAAAGGGTGCTGCCCCACTGGGATGGGCACTCAGCAGGTCCCTTCATGTGTGCCCTGTCCCAGCCCAGGGCATCCCGTGCCCTTGCTTTCCAGGCACCCCGTCCTTCACGGTCCCCTCTCCCTGCAGTGATGTGACGTTTGTGGTGGGCCCGGAGCAGCAGAAGGTGTTTGCTCACCGCTGTGTGCTGGCGTGCCGCTGTCAGGCTTTCCGGGGGATGCTCGCCCAGGTGCCAGGGGGCAGCCAGGACTCCTCCAGCAGTGTCCCAGCCCAAGGCCCCTTCATCCTGGGCAACGTGCAGCCTGAGGTCTTCCTGGCTGTCATCGAGTTCCTCTACACCAACAGTGTCACCCTCAACAACCACATCGTGAGTGGGGATGGGGCTGGTGGGGACCATGGGCATGAGAGGGACAACGGGAGGATGCAGGAGTAGGGGGTGCTTTGCACATCTTGGTGTGCCAAAGTTGGAGGATGTTCTGCATGGTACTTTCTGGCTGGCTAGCAGTGCAATGAGTGTGTGAGGTCTCAGCCCAGCAGAGTGGGGTGTCCAGAGCACCTTGTCCCAGCCTTGGAACAGCTGGCTGTGCACAGCCTGGATGCTGGGAATGGGGACACCACAGCAGGAGACTTAAATTTGCCTGCATGTGGCAGCCTTACCCCCCATACCCCACCTGGGAGCTCCCATGGAGGCAGGAGCACACAAGCCCTTGGGTTGCTGTGCCCATTCATGGCCCTGCATGCTGATTCTCACAAGATCCCTTTTGCCTGCAGGCACTGGAGGTGCTGACTTCATCGGTGGAATATGGCTTGCAGGACCTGTGCAAGGTACAGCCCTGTTTAGAGTGGGGGTGGTGGTGTCTGAGTGTCCCTGTGCTGGGGAGCACCCCAGGATGGTCCCTGCGTGGCTGGTGGCTGGAGATGGCTCTGAGGAAAGCACTGTGGTGCATCACTCAGGTCCAATGCAGGCTCAGTCCTGCTTCTTGATCCTGAAAGGGGATCCCCTTTGAGAGGGTGCACCACTGTCCAGAAATCCCGCAGGGGAATCCTGGGAAATCATGGGGAAGACTGTGGGGTTTCACGTCTCCCACACAGCAGAGGGCAGCAGGAAAGCCCCTGTGCTGTTGCCCAGGATTTCTCTCTGGTCATCTGACAGAGTGATGCAGTAAAGAAAGCCCCGACCCCTGGGAGCAGTCAGCACCCCGGCTGTGGTGCTGCCAGGGGGATGCTGCTTTGGGTGGGAAAGTTTTGGGAGGACAGCAGGGAGCAAAGAGGAGGGGTGTGAGCCGGATGAGGAGGGGGCAGGGAGCTGGAGCAGCTCGGTGTTGGGGAGGGTGGCCAGGCCACGTCATCAGGCTGATTCCTGAATTACAGCGGGCTGAACGCGTGACCTGCTGCCTCGGGCCAGGACTTCCCCTCCCTTCCCACCACGCTGTGGAAGGACCTCAGGAGCTTAGGAACTGCGGGCTGCTGTGTGCTGGGGTGGTGGGATGGGACCTGCCCCATCACCCTGTGGGGGCAAAGTTCCGATGTGGCACGGAGCTGTCAAACAGCTTAAGGGGTGTTGAAAAAAAGGAGGACCCAGTGCTCCAGCCACACAATTCACACCCCATCACCCAGCAAATGCACCCTCAGGGGGGATGACCTGCAGTGGGGAGAGCCATGAGGAGAGGAAAGGGGGCTGACCAAGGACAGCTGGGGAAGCCTGTGACTGTGTCTCTAGATGCAGGATGACATCATGTCCCTCCTGCCAATGACTCAGGGCCCTTCTGCCCCAGCTGACTTCTCCCTGCATGTGACATCCCCTTGGGTTTCCCAGGGACTCTCTCTGCTGGGCAGCTGAGATGGGCAGGAGTGAGGTCCCACTTGCTGGTAAATGTGCAGGTCTGGCTGCATCCAACCTGCATCACTCGTGTGGGATACCAGAGGAGTCCCCCAGGAGTCACAGGCAGAGCACAGCTGACAGGCAGGGCTGAGTTAAAGCTGGGAACGCCTAATGCACTGCATCTGGCACCAGGATTGTCCCCTGTGACAGAACATGACTGCTGTTTGTCAACAGGGTGATGGGACCCACCTGGGGCTATCAGGTTGGCTGGGTTTGGTCAAATCAAGCTTGGTCCCTGGCTTAATCAGTGGCCGAGCTGTCTGCCCACAGCCATGCTGCAAGACCTCATCCCACAGCCCACTGCTATCTTATAAAACCCTGGGGGGGCTGGAAGTGCCTCTGCCCTATGTCCCATGTCCTGAGGACTCAGGGGATGCTGAGAGTTGCACGTGGGGATGGCAGGGTTGGGTCCCTGCTCTGCCAACCCTTTCCCTGTCTGCCTTCCAGCTCTGCGTCAAGTTCATCAAGGACACTCTGAGCGTGGAGCAGGTCTGCGAGGCCCTGCAGGTAAGAGTGACACCAGTGGTGTCAAAAAAGGTTAAAAATAACCATAAAATTTGAGGCAGGAGCAGGCCTGACCCTCCTGCTGTTGGCTGGATGGTGGGGCTACCACTGTCTCCCCAGCTTTGGCCCATAAGCTGCCCTGCCAGCTCTCGGGCACATTGTACCAGGGCTGCAAGAGACACTGGGGCCACCAGAGCCTGTCAGAGAAATGTCCTCACACTGCCCTGAGCAGGGCTGGCCAGAACTCCCCAGTGCCAGGGGCTTGCCATCATCTGCATGAAATGGGGAGTCACTGGGTTTCTGGGAGCCAGTCCCAAAACCCCTGCTGAGAGTTGGGGCACCTAAAAACAGCCTTAGGGAGGTCCTAATGGCTCTGCCATGCTCCTTGGTAGGACCAAGGCTGTTCCCCAGAGAAAGGGGATTTGTTTCATCTCCCACAAGCTGAAGGGATCCTCTTGGAGTGAGGTGCCTGCCCCAGAGCACAGAGCTCCAGCCAGATGTGACGCCAGACAACCGTGGCATAAACAGAGCTAAAACTGGCCTGGAGGAAACAAAACAAGAAACCCCAAAACCCCAGAACAAAACAAACCTGAAAAAAACAGCTCGTCTTCCATCTCCACTTGCGTCAGTGCTGGTCCCCTGCTGTGGTGGAGGGGGAGGTGATGTTCACCCTGCCTGTGCTGGTCCCAAATACCCTGCACACAGGGGCTGCCACCACGGGGGACGGGGACGTGCCCTCCTGGTGCCCAGGGCAGTGCCAGCCCTGGGACAAGCATTGCTCGGTAGGGCTGGGGGAAATGAGAGCACCCCAAATTCCTGCTGCAGTGGGGGATGGCAGCTGTGGGTCAGGCTGGAGCTGGCACC